TAAATAATTAGATGTGTGATTTTGATGTTGTGATGTAAGTTGGTGAGATCGAAGAAAATAAGCAAAAGTTGACAAATTTGGAGAAATGGCTAAATTGTAAGGGATCCAAAGTTCGGGGACTAAAATGTAAATACTTAAAAGTTGTGCCGAACCTCACGATAAAGATTTGAGAGTGCTCGGAGTCAATTAGATAAAGGAAGACGTCAATGAAATCAAATTTAGTCAAAAGATGATCACAAATCAATTTTCAACCGAAAAGTTATACTCCGATGTTTTAGTCTCATATTGAGACCTATTTTTCGCATAGAAAGTGATCGAATTGGAGAATGATGTCTGAATCAAAGTTGTATCCAGATGAGTTAGCTTTCCAACTCATTTTGAATCGCCTCAATCGGATATCGGAATACAAAGTTATGATAAAAATACTAAAAGAAGATGTAGCTGCCTGTTTAAAACAAGAAATTCCGTTACATAGTCCGTTAAAACAACAAATTCCGTTAGTCTTTCCGTTAAAAACAAGAAATTCCGTTAGATAACCACTTTTAATATATAGAAGATATTTAGATTTTGACAGAAAAGATATTGTACTAAATTTTTGGAAAGATATTACCAATGATTCTTTTTTTATATATTTTAATCCAAATATAAATATAATAACAAATGTTGAACGCTCAATTAGTATAAATGAATCATTTTGTTTGATAGTTTAGCACCATCTACTATGATATCGACGCCACCACTATTTGACAACTTATGCAGATTGCACTCGATCTGTTTTTATTAATGTTTAGAGTCTTCAGGATAATTGAATGACAGTTTCATATATTTCAACAGATTTTATCCTAAACCTTTAATTCATAGAAGCGTTGGTCCTAGACCTTTCAAACTGGTGCTACGAAGAAACTCTGGACGATTTCCATCCAAAAGTCAATGTTAGACCATAATTTGACTAATTTTTAAAATGCTTTTTTAACCTTTTATTAACTAAAAAGGGTCAATTACATTAGAAGATCCAAACCTTTTAAAAATATGCAATGAATGTCCCAATTTTTTATCAAGTGTGCACCGAGTTGATGTTTTTTATCCAAATATTTGTCAATTGACAAAAAAATTAATTTTCCCCAATTCACACAACCATCCAACTCCGATCTCTACTCCTAACCCACTCAACTAGATCAATTGGCAAGTGGGGGAGCCTCCGTTACCGTTGTGTTTGAAGAGAATTATTTTATCTTTGTTTATTTCTTCCAATTTTTTTCAAAGTTCTTGCTAAGAGGAAACGGAGTTGATGGGAATGTAAAAATGGATCGGTGGAGGTGGAGAAAATGGGACTACGACAATTGATCCTATTGTGAGGTTGAAGCTGTCGAACAATGTTCATCTTTCGCGATTCACGTAAGCACCCAGCCCCAACATCTCACCCAGCCAATTATACCCATTGTTAGTTAGGAGGAGTAGCCTCAACCTCAAGTAGTGTTAGGTGACTACTACCACGTTTGCCTTTTGAACACCACTCGTTTAAAAATATAAAAAACAATTATTTGAAATAAAATTAAAGATTTTAAGTTAATTGTCACCAATTATTTATATATTTCGAAATCATAAATTTTGTAGACATTCAATTCATCTTTATTAAAATTAATATTTCAATACATAATACGTATATAAAATAAGTGAAATATTTGACTATAAGTTTTCAAGATATTCAGAACTATATGGTTATATATATGTTATTGCATTAAAATAAACAATATTGTTCAATACCTTAGTGGTGAGGGAATCATCATTTTTCTTTGAAGTTGAAGGTTCAAATACCTGGACATTGAAAATTTGATTATAATTGTTCAAGATATATATAGGTTATTGTAACAAAATAAACAATATTGTTCAATATCTTAGTGGTTAGAAAAACATTACAATAAACTTTTGCTTAAAGGTTGAAGGTTCGAATTCTTAGACTTTGTAAATTTGAATATAATTTGTCAAAATATATAAGTTATTATAATAGAACAAACAATATTGTTCAATGCCCTAATGGTGTGAGGAACATCTTTTTTCCATAGAGGTTAAATGTTCAAAACTTCGAACTTTCAAAAAATTCTTCATTTATTTGGTTATACAAGGGAGGGTAACGTAGACATTTGAGATTTTTAAATAATTAATTCTTTTTTCTTTTAAAGAATTTTGATCAAAGGCCATTTAACAAAAACTTGTTGAAGGGTGGCCATTCCAACTCATTCCCCTAAATTTTGCCCGGACTGAAATTTTTTTTGGCTCCAAACAAGTGTTGACTAACAAATGTTGCAGAACCACGTCCTACAAGGGTTGATCAGGATTTCAAGAATGGGAGGCGGGCTTGAAGAAATGGGCTGGTGGGCTTTGGGGAATTTACAAAAGCTAACCGAATTAAGCTTCGCCTCGGACTTAAGCCGGGAATGACAAATAATATGAATTGTGGTAACGTAGGATGGGAAAGCAAGGATAACTACGAACATGAGGGCAAGGTGGTGGGCATTGTTACGAATTTCAAGAGCAATTGGGGAAAATTGAGACTGGCTAAGGAGGTTACTGGTGGTAGTGAGGAGGGAGAGGAGGTGAGACCACCGCGACTTTGAGCGGTGGTGTTTGAGGGTTGAGAAGGCCATTGAGACTAATGTACAGTCAGAAATTTGTGGTAGCATGAAGAATGGGGCGAACATTTTAGAATAGAGTAGAAAAGAGAGGGCGATTGTTCGCACATATAACCGATTGCTAAGGCGCCATTGAAATGAGAATCATAGAACTTTTAAGCAATGGCGTCTTTGTCAGTAATTTTATCAACAAATTGCAGGCATTGTCATGCGAATCTTGCTATAAGTACATGAAAATTATACAGAATTGGTACCAAAATTTGAAATAGAGGGAATATATTCAACATAGGAAGAAGGGAAACAACACACATACGGTCATGATGCTACCATTCAAATTCACGTTAAAAATCTGTGAATTATTTCATGTACTTGCAGCATTTTTCTTGTCATGCAAGGTTCATCATTTCAATGTCAGTAATTTCATCAAACACTTTGTTACATGTACATCATGCTTGTACAACATGGTGTACACTCCCCTTACATAAAGGGGTCCCGCAAAAATTTTATTCATGGTGTGAGGGGGCTAAATGGCATGATGTACAACCATCATTTTCCAATATTTTATCGCGGTCACTGAAATTTCCCTCATTCATTTGTCCCACTTCCACCTCTCTTTTCTCCCGAACACAATAGCGTCTTTCGTACACATTTGATCAAGAATCAAGTATACAGTTCAAGAAGACAAGTACTAATATGCATAATTAGAAACCATTTTTCTCATTCTTAGTTGGCAAGCTGCTTATTTTTTTTACTTATAATTTGATTTGATCACATCCATGAATTTATGGACGATTTTGAGGATATGGTAAAGTTGGAAGCGAGCATATAATCAATATCAAGATTTATTTTTTTGTTGGTCACTCTGATTTTCATTTTCGACTAACTTATTTTTCGTACATTTGAACTGAAGAAAAAGATAGATGGTTAATCAACTGAAGCTTCTATAAATTTGAGGATGGTGTAATGAATTGCAGTTTCGTGTCAATTAAATTATCATTAATTTATCGAGATATAAAACAAATGTGGAAAGACTTCAAGATTCGATATCTATTTTGCTTCTATATTACAAACCAAATAAAGTTTATAAGCAATACAACAAATTAGGTTTTAGAAATAGTATTTATTAATTACTCGTACATCAAAGAGCGCTTATTAATTTATTGAATTATTTAGAGAGGAATTTAGGGTTTCATTTCAGTCTTGATTGCAACAACCAATTGATCATAGGCCACACTCCAAGCATTCTTCATTTCTGCAGACCACATTTCTCCTACTGCTTCCTTTATTGTCTCCAAGAGTGCATATTTAGTAACCTGCGTTTTTTTTTTTTTTTAAAAAAAGGTAAATTATTGGAATATCGAGATGATGTTACTAAGTTACCAGTTATGAAAAATAAATAAATAAATAAAAATAGATATATATCAATGCTGACATATTATGCTCCTGTTTGGTTTAGTTACATATCATTTTTTTTATTTGATTTTAACAAATATTGATGAAATGCGTGATTGAAAAGTTGATAAAATTTGTGGTTCCATAAAATATGTGGTTACAAATGAATTCGAGGAAAAAGAGTTTTAAAAATAGGGCCAAACAAGGGCTTAGTTTGTCTGTTAAGGTTGTTATTCAATATTAAGAAAAAATAACATAAATGACAACTGACATACATTATGTTGTCTAGTTCAGCACTGCAAATCAAATATCTCCTAAACATGCAATGAAAGAAATTATAACAAAATCTTATATAATTATATTTTAAATTGTTTTACCATATACTTTGTGTCAGTATTTCAAATAAAAATGGCAAAAATTGAAGTGGCCTCCTACCTCAAAATGTTCATCCACCACTCCATACTGGAAGTGCACACCACCTATTTTTTTCAGACTTGAATCTCTTACCACAACTTTTCCTGCTTTCCTCAGTTGTACAGCAGCTTCACATGTCTACAAAACTCAACCTAATTAGTTACTTCAAGTATAACATTGGTGTCTGGTTTTCATTTTTACAAGTGTCTAACTGGTTACTGTGATTCAAAGAATTTCATCGTTTAGCCTGTGTTTGCATATTAAGGCATGTTTCGTACACAATATTGTACATGATAAACAGACAAACATGCAAAATATTTTTCGTCTTAAAGATCGTCAACTCTTGCTCTCTTCTCTTTGACAATCGGATAGCACTCAAGTACAAATATTATAATAGATGAGATGTTCTGCTAGCAGGGACGGATCGAAAACCGGATTGTAGACAAGAAGAGCTAGGTAGGTCAAGAAGAAACTGACCATGACGAAGACAGACTTGGCATGAGGTTTGAGTTTGGGGTTCTGCTCAAGTGGAACATTTGAGTCCTTCAAAAATGAGAATAGTTTCTGGGCTGATGGTGCAATCTCAAATATCCTGAAAAATTATTCTCCAAGAAAATTAATCAATTATTCTTTAAAAACTGATTAAAAAGTGGTTGAAGAAAATAAGTAATTAAGAAGATATAATTAGGATTGGCTAATTACTTGATAAAGAATTTGAGACCCCATTCCCCAGCATTTTTCTTCATTAAATTCCATGACTTCACCACCAAAGCCTCTTGTTCTTCTGTAAAACTTTCTCCTCCCATGCTTCCACATTTTTCTCCATCTAAAAAAAATAATTCAAAAGTTAGTACAAAAAGAACTTAAACAGGGGTTTGGTATATGAAACCAGAGAGTATATTGAACAAATTTTTTCTTTTTTCGTCAATGCTATTTATCGTTGTCTAGTCCATTTTATCAAAGACACGTTTGATAAAGTTGATTGGAGAGCATTAAATAAGATTAAATCTTATCGTTCGTATCTTCTTGTCATGCTCAATTATATATACCAAAACACACCAAAAAGCGTGTTCTATCGTAGAATGAATCCAATACTACACACACAAAAATATTATTAAGGGAGGCAAGTATGATGCAGTATGATCCAGTGTCCTAAAATATCCTTGGTGTTGAAAATTTTAAAAAAATATACGAAAAATAAGACATGTTTCGTGGCGTGTTAGATATGTGTACTAGAGTTTTCATGTATCTAATACAGACAAGCATATTACCAAGAATGTTCAAATCTTTTAACTTTTGATTAGCAATTTAGCGATACATGAATCAAAAAATGAAGTAATGGGAAGAAAAGAAAACAATACTCACCTTTATGTTGGGCAGTCGCGTTCAAGTGATCGTTCATGATGCTAACTTAATCGACTATCGAATGCTATTAAATCGAACACTTTCTTGAAAATCAATCACTTTCTTGAAAATCCTATAAAAATCCGTTTGTTCTTTTTTTCTGGAACCCATCACATTGGTACGAACTTTATATAGTACCACCTTTGGAAGGGTTAGAGCAGCTCTTCATGATAATGAAAAGCCACTCTATAGAGCCACAAACAAGTTCCAGTTAGACTAATTAATGAGCCACCACATTTTGAATACCGGCGGCGGGAACATGGTTTTGGACCAATTGCCTCCGTGAGTGGTGACGTATGCAATGACACCCTTGCCATGTTTCCAAAATTTGGGACGTTTAAAAGGTCATCAAGAAATATATAATAAAGAAATGGCTTGACCATAATCCCAATTCTTTAACAAATTAATAGGCTATAGTTGGCAAAATGTATGATAATAGGTTTAAATTTACTCTTTGGATATTGGAACTTCAAATATTAGCATAGGAAAATGTTGTAGGGAAAACAATGAGCAAATTGATCGGCCCAAGCCCACACCACCAAACCCAAGTGAGGTTCCAAACCAAAATCAATTGGCAATGGGTGGAGTAGCCCACTTAGGTTATATGGTGGATTTCTTTTCTTCTCCCAACCGATGTGAGACTTTTTGTTTGCTCCCAACAATCCTCTCCTCAAACTAGTGGTGGCAATGGGCCGAGCCGAGCCGGCTCGGCCCATTGACGGACGAGCTCGGCTCGTGTTCGCACGAGCCGAGCTCGTGGCTCGTCGGCAACGAGCCGAGCGCGAGCTCGGCTCGTTGCC